AAATTACATAATATTGACTGTACGATCGCTTCTCAGACATCGAGACTCAGAGCTGCGAGTCGAATCGTGTAACGTCTTATGAGTCTCGTTTCGTCCGTTTTCCAAAGAAAAGAGGCAGCGCGGAATTTTAGCGCAGAATGCTCGGTCGAGACGAACAATCTTGGATCGTTGGACGACTCAATATCCACTCCGGCGCACGCAACGCGAATTCCCGGCGGCGTCCTCCCGCTCGGGGATAAAGAGGAACGCCGGCCCGCAACCCCACGAGAAAAGTTACCATTTGCATTTCCGCTGCAAACGCGGCGCCACGCACGTGCCTATCGTTCGCGCACCCCTCGACGTCGGGGAAGCGGACGGGGAGCACGCGAGCGAGCCACGATGAGGAGGAGCAGAGTTTCCTTGACGTGCGCGCCGTGTACTTTGCATAATTTCACGAATCGCGCGTATAATCGTTCCGCCGCCACGCCGCCGCCGGGTTGTCGGGTGCTACCGAAACGTGCCGGGGACGGTTGTTTCGTGCCGCGGGCAATCCCGCGACTCGACCGACATTAGCATAAGGTTTGACATAAGGAGTGACGCGTGTGTGCACACATCAACCTCGCGCCTGCCCTCCTCCGAGGGCGACACGTGGCCCCGCCACGAGACGCCATCGGAAGGGTTGAAGGCCCAGTGAGAATTTTCGTATTTAAGCCCTCCCCTATCTCCTCCTCTTCTTCTACTTCTTCTTTCCGTCCCGAAACTCGGATCGAGGAACGAACTCGAGAGTGAATGTTTAGACATAGGTGTATATACGGAAGTGTCGATGTGACACGTGCCGCGACACGGCCGTATATACGTTTTTGCCCGCTCCGCTCCGATCGAGCTTGTGTACTCAGCATTAGCATAGGATTTCAATGCCAGCTCGGCGTATAGATTTTCTTGCTTTTATTCTCTTCCGGGCGCTCTCGGATCGCGCGTGTACAACGGAATGTATAAGAGAGTATTCCGGCCGGGGCTCTTCACGGGAATGTTTTGTGTGGAACCACGCGTTTCATAAATAATGGAAATGAAAATTAATCTGTTTCCGCTTAGCGCGATATATATTGTATATTAACGAATTAAACTTAGCGTAGCACATTTGTTTATCTACAGAAAGACATTTAAAAATAATCTACTAGAAAAATGAAGTCTATTAGAATGGAATATTATATATATTTTGCAATTGAGCTCAGGAAACATAGGGATCGAACGAGTGCTCGATGACTAGAATGACGGACCTTCGGATTTATGTTACATCTAGAGAAATATATTGATGACAGCATTCACTTCAATGGTTACACAATCGTTGTATTTTCTCAACGTAGCCAATAGCTTCGATCTTAGAAGAATTAAACCGAGCGTGCCCTACTACGCGAGACAATACGCGACTCAAAAGCGCCGACAGGGTTTCATCACTAGAAAATCAATTTTCCCAGCGAATATCGGAGTCTATTGTTCCCTTTTTTCCACATGTCTCGTCCTATTCAACGCGGCAATCGCGTCGTTTGGGGAATTTTATCGAAGCAGCCGCGGTAACGTCGAGGTGGACTGTCGATGAACGACCATGACCACGCGCACAATGGTTCATGCGATCCTTCGTCTCTTCGCTTGATGCCGCGTGATATCTACGTTGCTTTTGTGTCGCGGCTAAGACGCTTCGAAAAAGCACCGCGTCTAATTAATATCCGAGCTTTTTGCCCAAGTGACGCGGACGCGCGTGTCAAATTTCTGACCAATCACGAATCCGGCAATTTCAACGGTCTTTCTCTATCTTGGAGTATAGCTGCGATATTTCGTTTATCGTAAAGTTACAGTGTGCAGAAAACTCCTTTCTTCGAATTCTACAAAAAGCTACAAATTTAAGAATTTCCAATTATATTCAAGAATTGTCTAATGTGCATTTCTTAGAAGTATGTTTTTACCAATATGTCTCGTGGATCTTTTTTATGTCAAATTGTTATATAAATTTTAGTGATTTAGCAGCTAAAACTAAGATACCAAAGACTAAAGTTCTAAATGTAATAATTGTAATTTTTTAAATTGTTTTCACTTCATGCAATAGTTTAATAATTTTGTATTAAAAACTTGTTTTCTTTTTAACAACTTTTTAGATTTAAATTTTACAACAATGTCAAGAGTAGATTAACGTCGTTTGTAATAAACCGTTTATAATAAAAAGGATTTTGTATGTTGAGAATAAAAATAATTTGTAGGACATCGAAACGTGGTAAGTGATGAGTATGAATCTCAAGTTAGCATGCCTTAATGTTTTTTCGTTACTTCTAATTTATTAAGCGGATGCGAGTTAGTCTCCCAAAATTTGCAGTTACCAACTTGACTTACGATCTCTCATCATACGATCGAAGTTACAGGCTTGATTAGTAATTATATTGCCATGTATGTCGATCTGTGATAAGAATCCTAAAAGCCAATATTGTAACGAGTTGTATCATATATGAGAACTCGTTACAATAAAATATAATGTTGCGTTTAGAGTTTATTTTAATTTATTTTAACAATAATTATGAAATGTTTCTATCAATTACGTGGAAATACATGTCATCTTTACAAATTTTTCAAAACCTTTTCACAAATAACCGTGGCATGCATATCAGATTTTTGATTGGGTTGCAAATATAAAATTTATCTTTGTTAAATACTCACGCGTAAATCTGTTTGTATCATTTGATTTGTTCGCATTCAATTGTACAAATGTAAAGATTCGTAACAATCGCGACTTACCAAAACGTTTCTGATGTAATCGTCATGATGGCTCCTTGATGACGGGATAAAGGTATTCAGGAAGAAATACAAAAAGTAAAATAAGAAAGAAACAAAAAAATAATAATCCTGTTTGCAATTTTTATTTTAGACTAGAACAGAAAGAAATCATGTCAATCATGTCATATTATTAACGTAGTATTATTGAATCATTTTCATAATGACGGATACGAATTGTTAAATAATAATAATAATAATAATAATAATAATAATAATAATAATAAACTATATACATAAGAGATTGGTAGGAAAATAATATACCGATCGACATACATAACTGGATATATAAAGTTCAAATTTGATATGTAAAATCGTATATTGTATGCGAGAAAATTATGACAAGCAAAGCCACACCCTTGTCAGCCACGAATACAACGATAAAATAAATTTGAGAAGTAAATAGAGCTGCTCAAAATCGAGACATCCGGTTCCAATCGAAATAATTAAAAATAAAAAAATATATAAAGATAACGACGACACATAGGCAGACGAGAGCGTGACCATTACAAAGAAAAAACTCATAAATAACTAATACAAAAGAAAATAATAATAGTTTAGATTAATAATAGTTAATTATTTAGTTGGATGAGTGTCGCGCAATGTCGTACCTGACCATATTATGTCATCACCAATGGCAGATAAGGCGCTACAGCGACGCTGGGACGTTGCTTATAAGTTAAAACATAAAATTAATAACGACGTGTTTACTTTCGTGTGTATTCCGTAACTGCTAGTTGCGAGGAAAAGCCCTATTCGGATTTTAGATGCGACATCTTGCGATATATTTACAATAAACGCGCAACAAAAGGAAAAATCCGTAAAGGGCGTCAAGCTGTTGGAATGGCTTCGCAAATAATGATAGCGATAACGACGAGAAGAAAACAATATTAATTAGACGCTTAGAAGAATAATTAACTAAAATAGATAACGCTGCGATTTCAATATAAAATAGTAATTATTTAGATATGATACAGGGTGTTTAACTAAACGAAGAACACGTGGACACGTTTAAATTAAACACTCAGTTTTATCCGCTGTTTAGTGATAGTTTATCTAATATTTTTCACATTCCTAAATTAAAATAACTACTTTATCATGTGTTATCACGCATTTTATCGCGCACTTCATATTCGTTACGAGTCCCATATTTTCCATTTCTCATTCTCGCATCTTCATTCATCCTTTCTTTCTTTCTTTCTTTCTTTCGTGCTAGCTTTCTTCACGCTCTCATTCATTCTTACATGGATGTAAATATGTAGCGCAGATTGATTAATAGGAACTTTTAGAGAGTATTTCCTAAGCTCTAAATATATTATGTCAGATATATCTTATATACGTATATATGTGTACAAGTATGTATAGCAAATATACGTATACGTAACGTATACACGTATACGTGAAGAACTATCTATATCGTTCATGTTTCTTTGATATAAACGTTTATCTATATAGATATTTGCATAATTTTCATTTGTTTGTTCCGATATTATTTTTTCTAATTCACTTGAATCAGTAGACTCTGGTATATGTTATATGTCTTGATCATATCACACCGTATATAGTACAATAAACCAAATGTACAGTAGTTGTACATTTAGCTTATTTAGTCAGTCCTGTTTAAATTGTCATAATATACAACATATATAAACGATTTAACGTCAGCGAGTTCGAAATTACCCGGGGCAGCGTCAATTTTTAATGGACACTAATACCATAAGATTCGCTCTCGTTAACTAATCAACAAAAATAGAATTCACCTGGCAAAATCCGAAACAGAAATTTCTTTCATTGGCAATGCGTTTAAATTTTTAAACAAATTGCCTCAAAATATCCACCATATAAATACGTTATATTTAAAAATATATAGATATATATGTCTAAATAGATTGAATAAATAGATATATATATATATAACATATGCATATATATAATATGTAATATATCATATTTTATATTGCATATTACATATATACATACAAAACATAAAATGATAATATATATAACAACGTAAAAATGAATGTAGGTTTTTTATATATATGTATATACGACACATAATACATATATTTTAGATGTATATATATATATAATACATATTATATATATACGTATATATTTATATGGCAGAGGTCTGTTAAATTAGTACGAATTTCGAATCGACAGTCGTACAATCGTTTAGTCATTCAAGTCAGCTAGACACTCACCGGCCGTAGTGTTAGCTGCGCTGGCCGCAGTGGCAGCGGGATGCTGTTGTTGCTGTGACTGGAACATTGCCGTGGGATGGAGGAACACGGATCCGTACATCATATTCTCGTCCGATTGCTGTTGCTGTTGCTGCTGATTGACTTGTTGACTGGCTGCGGTCACTATCGGCGAGTTACCAATACCGGGCACGCCGACAGCCCCGCTGCCGCCGGGCACGATCGGTGCCCCGGGAGTCGGTGGCACCAGACTGCCCTCCTCGACGGCGACGCGCACCGAGTCGATATGCCGCCGCGAGAATACGTGCTCCTGCAGCGGTGTCTTGGCCGAGTAACGCACAGAGCATAGCCTGCACTCGTCTGGTCCGGTCGGGCCGCGATGCGGTTGAACGGCTGAGCCTTCGGCCGGCAAACCGGCCGCCAATCTAGCCTTCTTCTCCTTAGCGCGGGCGTTCTGGAACCACACCTGCAACTCGTCTCCATTAGTCTTCGTAAGCTCGAATCGTGGACTGGACGCACGCGCGTCCAGATAATGGTCTTCTTGTAGATATTTTAATTTGGTTACTACGAGCTCGGGGTCGGGCTCGCGCGAGGACTATCGATGCTCACCTGGACCACGCGCTTCGGCAGGCCGATCTCACGGCCGAGCATCTCGCATTCGGCCATCGTCGGAGTCTTGTAGTCCGAGAAGAGTGACTTCATCACCTTCACCTGAGTAGCCGACATCTGAGTGCGATATCGTTTGCCCCCAGATTGTCCGGGGGTATTGCTACCGGACTGTCCACTGGTCACTGGTGTTCCGGGGGTATTTCCCGTATTTCCGCTGGCGGGTCCTTGCCTCGAGCTTTGCGTGCTCGAGGCCGGACTCGCCGGTCCGCTTTCGTCGTCCAGAAACTCGGTTGTCTCGCTCATGCTGTCGTCGTCACAGATGCTACGTTCGGATAAGTCAGTTAGAGGACCGCAGTCGCTACCGCCGCGGAAATGAGCGCCATGTTGCTCCTCGAGAAGATTGCCGAAACTGCCTAGACTCAGTTTCATTGGTCGGCTAAGATCGACCGGTTTGCTCAGATCTAATGGCGACTCGCCGCTATTGCCGCTGGCCTGATGATTCGTCGTTTCTTGTTTTCCGTTACTGGCATGCGCCAACTCGCTAAAGTATCGTTTCACATCTTCGTAATACTTCAAATTCTTCAAAGACATCTCCATATCGCTGTTGTTTAGGGGCGGAAATAATGGTGGCATCATGTGAGGAGTGCTAGAATTAGATGGAACGGACTCCATCGAAAGCTCTTCGTCCGGGATGTTGTCGATGTTCACCTCGCCACGTGCCACTTGGTCCGCGTGTTTACTGCTGAGATGAGATTCCAGAGCGGACTTGACTTTGAATAACGCTGGACAGAACGGACAGCGCTTGTTAATCACTTGACTGTGGGCACGGAATTGACCCTTGCGCTCACGGGCACGTGTATTTTGAAACCAGACTTGTACTACACGCTTCTTTAAACCTACCTCGCGAGCGATCGTCTCCAGCATCTTTCGCGATGGATTAGATTCGATTTGGTATTTCTGATAGAGATAATCTAACTGTTCCGGGAGTATCGTGGTTCGCAAACGCTTGTCCTTGGGCTGCTCGTTGTGTTCTGAATTCGAGCGGTTATCGCTACCTGTCCCTTCCTCAAGATCCTCATATTTCCTTTTCTGTATCATGCTGATGATTGAATCCGGTGCAACACCAGGAGTGGCGTTGAGCGCTTGTTGTTGCAAGATACCAAAAGGTGAATCAGGAGGATACGCTGAAGGAAATAGGGTCGGGTTCATGATATGTATTAACTGATGCTCGCGCCAGAGCTCGAATCGTCCGAACATCAGATTGCACTTGTCGCATTGGAAACTACATTCCTTCGATTCCGTTTGCGATTGTTGCTGTTGCTGTTGTGACTGCGACTGCGACTGTGATTGATGCGTCTGAGACAGGGACTGCTGTTGATGTTGATGAGGAGATGTGGCTGTGCCCAGTGATTGCTGCAACTGTTCGGTGGGTGCCGGCACACTCGTTGGATTATTGGCTACCGTATTGTTTGTAGTGGTAGTAGAACTGCTATTACTGTCCTCGGAACTCAGAACCGCGGCAACCTGAGCCGCCGCAGCTTGCGCCTGCGCGCTCCTTTTGGCATCTTCCTCCTTGAAACAGTGAGTCTTCTGATGGCGTATAAGCTCATAATATCTCTGAAATACAAGGAGGCACTTTTTGCATTGGTAGTTCAAGCCTGGCGTTCTCTGAAATCTACCGGAACCGTCGTCGTTCTCGCGCCCACCCGTTGTTACAGGCTCGGCAGCAGGTTGATTTTCGTAAACCTTGCGTGCTTTTTGCCGAGCATTTTGAAACCACACTACGATCACGCGCGGACTCAATCCGAGAAGTTTGCTCAGATACTCTAAATCGTCATCTTTCGGATACGCGTTGTTTTCGAAGAATTCTTGGAGGACTTTTATCTGATAGTCGGTGAATCTTGTGCGATTAGCGCGTTTACCGGAACTCCCACCGGAAGTATTGCTACCGTTACTATTACCACCGAAATAATCGGTCGGTCCACGACCCGGGCTCAGAGATCTCTGCGGTGTAAGCGCCATTGCGGCGATCGCGCTCGGTACTACCCCACCCGCTCCCGGAGTAGGACTGGCAAAGTTCTGGGATGCCAATTTCGGTGGCAACATCGGAGCGCTCGGTGCATTCGTGGTCGATGGAGGATGGGACGAAATATCGTGATGAATGGAGAATACCGAACTCATGCTAAGCGCGGGCGAATGCGGTCGGGACTGCTGGCCACTTGAACTACCAGGCGAGTGATGCTGCTGCTCTTCTTGATGTTGAGCAGCTTGCTGTTGCTGTTGACTCTGCGATTGCTCGACAACCTCCTGCTTAATCTCGGTAGGTTGCACGCTGGTGTTTTGCATAGACGGCGGGGGCGTCGATTGCTTATTCGGGCTTTTATCGTCAGAGGAACTGCTACCCGATACGCTTGAATTTAACGGGGTTACCTTCGCTTCACCGGTTTTTTCGTATTCTTCAAGGTTCAGAGTGGTACTCGGCGGATTATTGAAATTGTAAGGACTATCTTTGTTACGCTGACGTTCTTTAAATAAGGTGTTTCGGAACCAATGCTTTATGACTTTAGGAGGCAAACCACTCTGTGTAGCCATTTCTAGGATTTGTTCTTCACCCGGAGAATTATTAATATCGAAGTGTGCTCGCAATATTTTTAGCTGTTCGTCAGTGATACGAGTACGTGCTCGTTTCTGCGATGCAGCTGCATTTGCCTAAAAGTATCAAAAAAGTACTCGTTTTTCTATCTTTAACTATTTGTATGCTTTAACTATTATGCGATTGCGCTTATTCTATCGTAACGCATCGTAATAGCATAGTATAATATACTCACAACTTGCAAACATTTGTAAATTTTTTATTACTAAAGTTACTCTTAATTTAAGTTATTCTTATGAAATATATACATAAAAAATCGTACCAGAAAGACAGCACGTAATATTTAGATTTTTTTTAAATGAAATAAGAAAAGCGCTATTGCGACGCACTTTGCAACTGTATTTCTATAAATATAATCATGATAAACAGAAGATAAATTAATTAATTATAAGGGAATATTTTGAACTTGGAAATTTGAAAAATTATAAAATTTTTGAGATAAAGAATCTTGATATATAATATCTATCATAATACGATATTTTTCTTTACTTAATTACTTAATTATTACTTTTTCCTCGAATCCATTTTAAAGAAGTAAAATCAATCTCTAAAAATTAATTATCCTTTCATTATTTATTCACAAAGAAAGTAAAGTGAATAAAGTTAAATTAAGTCCGAGTTAAGATTTTTTTTTGTAAATTAAATTAAAATTAATGACTAAGAAAATTATTTTAACAGTTGCATGCAATAAAAAACTAATTTTAGTTAAAGATCATATTTAAATTAAAATAACTTAAATTAATTTAAAAAAAAAAATATTTTATAAAAGGCACTTTTTATTTTTATTAAAATAAAATGTCAATTTTTAAACATTAGATCATCTAAAATGACCAAATGTAGAATATAAATAAATTTCATATTTTATAAATTAAAATTAACTAAATTATTACCCAATGTTTGATAGTTATTAGAGATAGAAATAAGAATAAATAGATAGGGAAATTTTTCCAAAAATCTTTACGATCTTTATTTCCATTTCTATGTATAAATTTAAATATTTTTCGAATCTTCTTACTTAATCTTTCGAATTTTAAACTCTACAAACTAATCTTAATTTTCAGTTGCAAAACTAATTTTAATTTTCAGTTTGTTGTAATTATATTCTTATTTCCTGTATGTTCTTTTGTATGGCTTTTATTATATGAATTCTATTTACCGCTGCTGCTGCTTGTTGTTGTTGAAGAGCAAGATGTTGTTTGGCAAGAAGATCTGCTTGATTAATCGATGGATATCCAGTAGCAGCACCATCATATGGCGGAGGTGGTAGCATCATGGGCACTAGAGGCGGCTGGAGATTCATGGCGGCTAAAGCTGGGACGTTCAATCCCAGTGGTAATCCCATCATTCCCATCATCAATCCTGGATATTGTTGTAACTGCTGGTGCAATTGCGATGCCGCCATTACATTTAGAGCAGTTTGCATATCAGACATCTGTTGCGCCAATGAAAGTTGAGCATGTTGTTGTTGCTGCTGCTGCTGCTGCTGTTGCTGCTGCTGCTGCTGCTGTTGTTGTTGTTGTTGTTGGTGATGATGTTGTAATTGTTGTTGTTGTTGCTGCTGCTGCTGTTGCGATTGTTGTGAAATATGATGCTGCGGATTGGTAGGCAAGACAGTCGGAGTCGTAGAATCTGTACTTGAAACTGGAGTATTGCTCAACGCCGGGGTTGTCGCTGGAGTAGTAGACGTGGCTTCTGGCGATCGACTGATACGTTCTTTACTCTCGGTATTCTCTTCTTTCTCCTTTTCACGCGATTCTTTGTCGGAACTGAGATCTTGAGGTTGTGCGGCAGCGGGCGTAGAGCTTCTCGGCGCCGTTGTAGTTGACGAAGACGTCGCGGCGGTCACCACGACACTCTTCTTCTCGTACTCACACTTGAATTGTTGTGCGTATTTTTCGAGAAATTCGCGCGGTACGAGATCGCGATGTACCTCTTCGCAATGAGCCTTCAGGACCCAAACGCTACTGAATTCTTTATTGCAATGCTGACAAGTACTGCGCGTAAGTTCTGGTATTACGTCATCATCCGTATGAGCCTCTTCGGCTTCTTCCTCTTTTTCTTGCATAGCTTGAGCAGCGAGAGCTTGCTTCTGTTGTTCCTGTTTCTGTTGCTCTTGCTGCGCTTGAAGGGCAGCTGCTGCTTCTTCCTCCTTACGTTGCCGTCTTTGATGATTCTCATTGAACTGCATGACGAGATCGAAACCAAAGCTCTCCAATAGATGCTTATACATCTGCGAGGTCTTATGTCGCGGTTGCGAGAGAATATCTTGCGTGGTCTGTGATGAATGTTGCGCAGCTGATTGCATATGCTGTTGCGGTCCTGGTGTTGTAGACATAGGAGGTGGTGTCTTAGCCGGAGCGGACGAAGCTAGTTGTTGCGACGCAGCTAATTGTTGAAAGAATGCCAATGCTGGGTTGTTCAAAAAATTGCAAATCTGTTGATGTGCCGCTAGCTGATCCTGATTGACGAGAGTGTTGCAGCGCGAACAGGGGAGCATCCCTCCTGTATTGCCTGTGTTCGTGTTGACAGGTGGACTGGTCGGACTCTGTGGAGGTTGTTCGATTAATGGTCGAGCGAGATCTAACTGGCCGCTGGCGGCAAGATCTTGTAATTTACTAGCCCGCGTTTGGTGAAGAACGCTTCTCATATGGATGTCCAAAGTGCTACCCTGGGAGTAAGCGACTTTACAAATGTTACATTTGTACGGCTTTTTATCTTGATCTTGTTGAGAATCGGGCGATTCGGTCGGGCTAGCCGGAGGTACCACTGCGATCAAGTTATTATTGTTACCTTGCTCTTGCATCGCGCGCTTCAACTTGTGCAAATGACTCACACTGTTGTAATGCACTAGAAGTATGTTCTTTTGCGTGAAACTTTCCTTGCAAACGTCACATTTGTATGGTCTATTAGGATCTAAATATTTTTCCATGGGATAAGACATTTTTTCACCTTTCCGATGCAACAAGGTCTTATTGTGCCCGGTGAGATAACTCTGCTGCGTGAAAGCCACCTTGCATCGATGACATTTGAATTTTCGACTTGGATCTTGATATGAGTCCTCCGCGATCGTTTGGCTATTTAGATAATCCTCCAATCCACGTTGTCCCTTTGGAGGCGAATCACTGGCATCGCTTTCTTCCTCGTCACCTCTACCAGTGTCTTCTTCCACAGTCTGCTCATCTGCTAGGGAAGCTTGTCTCCTCAACGTTTCTTCTGTGAGCACCTGAAGAAGAGGATGCGCTTGAATTAAACTCTGCTTATATTGAGCTAAATCATCCTCGTGAAGCTCGTGGGCAGTTTCCAAATGTCTCTGAAGCGCCTGAACTGAGCGAAAAGATCGTCCGCACTTGTTGCATTTAGTCGCGTCTCTGATAGCGTGATATTGGGAGTGTTGTTGAAGTTTCTCCAAGGTTTTAAACGCGAGACTACACTGTATACATCGATATTTGTAGACGTGTTTTTCACTGACTGCCAAGGCAGGCGTGGTGGTCGGATGAGCTTCCCGGTGATGTTGCTGAAGTTCTTCGATAGAACGCCAATTTCGGCCACACACGGTACACCTGACAATCTCCTCAATTTCATCATTGCCACCCCGTTCATTAAGTTCTTCTTCCTGATGGATCTTCGTCGTAGTCGTGGGCGACGTCGGCGTTGTTGCAGTCGTTACAGCCGTCGAGGAATTCCGATTATTGTTTAGCCAATGGCTTTGATCTACCAATAATAATAACCTCTGCAAACCGTCGGTGTTAACAGAATGAATTTGCATTACATGCTTCTCTAGGGCGGGACGTTCCTTGAAGCTATCTTGGCACAACGGGCATAACAATTCTGTCGTCGGTTCTTCCTTTACCGTTTCAGTTTTCTCTTCCGAATCTTGAACGTGCGCCACTTGTAGATGCTGTCGTAATTCTTCCCGCGATGTCGGCTGATACGTACAATACAGGCACGTTATTTCTTCTTGGTCGTTTTCAGGTTCCGCTTCCGGTTCTGGATCATTGTCCGGTTCTTGTTTCACTTCACTACCGCAATCACTACCTTCTTCTCGTCGTTCTGAAAAGACATAAAAAAAAAGTTTGTTTATCGAATATTTGTATGACAACGACTCATTTGGAGTATTTGAACATGCAAGAACATGCAAACATGCTGATGATGGCAGTCAAATATTTTATAATCAAAACATAACATAAATAATTAAAAAATAATAAAATTTCATATCATTAAAATATATTTAATTGTAATGTTTTTTTTTCTATAATATTGAGTAGAGTTTCCTTTCTGCAAAAAATTGTTAGTATAAAAAAATTGTTAGTATATAAAAAAATATAATATTATGTATATATTATATTAAATATATAATATTACAATATTATGCGAACTTTTAAATTAAATTATTATTTGTATGTTCTTCTCTATATTAACACACATAATAGCTGCGTTCGGTTTATAAATCGACGACATTTGTTCATTTTTTTATTTAAAAAATCATGGGAAATCACCTCGTGGGATCATCATGCTCTTGTCATCCAGGTTTAGTATTATCTGTATATGATATTTCTGAATCGGAGATCCCTGAATCCACTCCGAATTCAAAGATCGAGTTCAGAAAGATGATGCTTTATGTTTATGTGCTAAAACTTGAATTTACTAACTTATATTTATAAGCTATCTTATCTATTTTTTTTTATCAAACTTCTTGCACAATTAACATAAGTTACAAATATAAGCACAATTAATATAAAATTGATAAGTTTTCTTTCCATTATAGATATTTAAATCTCTTTATATGTAATGTTATGGCAATTTATAAAAGTTTATCGGAAAAATTCAATTATTTATTATTTATTTTCTAAATACTAAATAATCTCTTTATAGCCGCCTTCTTTATACTACCGCCTTAACTTTTGATTATTAAATAATCATTTTGTTTCGAAAATCAGCTGTTTTTCTAGTGAAGTGGTAGTATAATACCGACCATCCATCGATGTTATGAATTTTTGCAAACAGTTCTCTCAAAGTACACAATGTTATTTAAAAGTACGTTTAAAATGTCTTATCTGAGAAATAAGAGACCATTTTTTCTGCGTGCTGATGAGATTTAGAAACGTTTAAATTTTTATCTTCATCATCGCTATCATCAAAAAATATTTTTCAACCAAAATTAATAAAAAAACATTTCATTATCCATTTTATTTCCTGATTTTGCTCTTCATATAACAGCTCAAGATCGTTCGGAGTTAATCTCTATGACCTATCTATTTGCTCCAAAGCCATATGAGTGGTGTTCATCATCTGTAGCTTATATCTCAAATTTACAATACCGAACGCAGCAATTGAAATTATTTCGAATTCACTTTGTCAATGTAGAGTTGTTCACCAGTTGATTTCTTTCTTCTCGTTACTTCTTTCTTTCACCTTTTTCATTCAGTGTACCCTTTGTTTTATATCTTGATTTTATTTAATTGGAGTTAGGGGTAATCGCTCATTGTTGTAACGATGGGCAAAAATGTTGTTGATTGTTTGTTGAATGTTTTTGAATGACTTTCAATATTCTTGTATTGTTGTTATTGATAAGTAGGAAGAAAAAAAATTCACCTTTATCATGAAAACCTGATAGCCTTAATTGACTAATTGTGATGTATATTAGTGTGTGGTGGGGGACCCAAAATCGTATTGATTGCTAAATTAAAAAAAAATTTCATTGTAAAACAATACAAATTAAAATAAATAGGGTATAAAGAGGGAAATCTTTTGTTATTTTAAGTATACTTTAAGTCTTAATCTAAAGCTTAGTCTAAATTGCAACCTATAAAACAAATAACAACCTGTAAAACAATATAAAATAATATAAATTAAAAAATATAAATATATAAAAAAGGAAAAATATGTTTAACAATTTTTTAATTTTTATTTCTTTTTAATTATGTAATTTTTTAGAATTAAAAGGAATTTTTTTATTAGAATAATTTTTTTGAATAATATTTTTTGTCATCATTTTGAAATTACGTTTGTTTGTTGCTCATATTCCAATCCATATTTATTCAGCATAACGTATCAATTCGTACAGCTCGATTATGGCAAACGACTAATTAAAAACTTTTGATACACGTGAAGTATAATCAGTAACGTGTGTGGATGCGAGGAGCGACGTGAAAAATATTAGGGTTGTTTGTAGCATTTTCAGATACCGTGGAGAATTTCATAATTACGATTCATCGCGTAACTATCGCGCACTAAAGATTTATTTACGTTCTTAGGCTCGTCGAGATTTGCCACGATAAATCCGCTTCTTCATCCAACCGGCGCGATATTAAACTTCGGCATTATGTATTCAGAGCCGGAGGACCGCGCGAGACAGCCATCCATTTCACAGCGATTCGTTCCCCGAGACATTAACTCGAAACGCCACACAGGAGAAAGTAAATTATAGATACTACCGGTAAACTATGGCAGTGCCACACAACGAAAAGTTCGCGTTCAGTGTCACGTATCGGGGCTGCGTACGCCTGTGTGCGGTGGACATTCTTTAGCGGTGCCATTATATTGATTAAGCTTGACCCAAGAATCGCGGGCGTCCGCGAATCGATTCTCCGCGGGGGAAAATTACGCGGCCGCAATTAAACGTCGTTTCCTTTCGGCGCGGACGGAAGGATTTATGCAAGCGAGCGTCGTCGCGGGGAGAGAAAGTTTTCCAGGAGTCCAGGAGAATGAAGACTATGGGGAAGACTGGTCGGCGGTCTGCACGCGTCGCAGATGCTCTCACACGCCAGTTTTGCAACGATAATATGCCAAATTACAGATTGGCGACATCGAACTACCGATGGCGGTTTTCTACGAAAGAGTTAGGAGCGACGGAGACAAGGAGAGAGAGAGAGAGAGAGAGAGAGAGAGAGAGAGAGAAGTAGAGACGAAGTAAAGAAGAAGAGAGAGAGAGAGAGAGACGGGAAAAAAAAAACAGAAAAGAAGCAAACGAAAAAAAAGAAAAAAACGAAAGGAGGACACAACCACCGTCGCATTCGCGCGGTATTGTCCGAAAGCACACTCGTAACGCGCGGCGTCAGTTGCGACGTCGCAACGCGCACGGAGCAACGCGTGCTGCTGGTTTCACCTCGCGCTCTCCTGCCTTCTCTCTACTCGTATATTTATGTAAGTACAGCCCGCCGATATATAATAACACGCGGGTATTGTGCGCGCCACCGTGGTGGTGGCGGCGGCACACGCCACGGCCATATGCCACGCCAAAATTACCGTCATCGCCGGCTAATTGTGAGATAATAAAATAATGAGACCAGCTTAATTCATTAAGGGCGTAGCCTGCGAGCTTTCTCTGCTAACGCAGAGCGCGAGCCGACATAAGAGAAATTTGTAATAAAAGGAATTACTTCTGCCGCCACGAAATTCGAATTGCCGTTTCGTAATGCCGAGTTACCCCGACACGTTCCTTCGTTCTTTTTCGAATATCACTCCGTGTATAATCGACTCGCAATATCTTTATTTAATTTATCGTTTAACTATAAAATATATTAAACTATTGAAGAGAAAAAAAATAGAAGGTTTTTTTTTAACAAATAACAAGTTTAAAAAAGGATACCGCAGGTCGATTGACAAAAAAAAAAATACCACAATGTTCTTTCAGTATAGCGACAGCTGTTTCACGCAAAAAAAGGCGATTAAAGGAGTTCACTTTTTGAATGACGAGGAAGTGAAAAACGCGACGTATTCCTGATTACAGACCGAAGCCTCTTTTCTTTTTCAGAGAAACCGAGCTGTTTGAACGATGACATACTTTGCACTGTTATGTAACTTTCTTAATACATGAGTTTTACAGTATTTATTTTTTTTATACAGTATTATACAGTATTTATTTTTAATATTTATTGAAGTTGTTATTTATCGATTATTCTTTATATTATAATTGTGGCATATTAATGAATATCACTCAATAACATAACATAAAACGTATTCTATAAAATGTGTTGTTTCTGATGAATAAAATATCTTTGAGTTATTATTTTGTGCGTTAATAACCATTATGCAAATGATGTTAATATTTCTGGAAAAAGAAAGTATTTCTTGTACTTGTGTGGGTGTTAAGTGTTGTCGCGTCCGTTGTAACTCACCATTGTTGGTGCTCGTAGCGTTGGGTGTCGTTGGTGTGGTCGGACTGGATTGATGCGTGGGCGGCACATCGGGATCGCTCGTCACTTGAAACATGACATTGATATCCGTGTGCGGAGATTCATTTCCCGTGAGTGTACTTCTCCTGTGAATCTGGTGTATCTGTTCCATATGAAGATGCCGCAGTGTTCTTACGTGTTGCAAAAGTGGCAATCGGTGCCGAGCGCTAAATCCGCACATCATGCAATGATACAATTTCCCGGGGGCTTGTACGTTGCTGCTCGCGTCGAGCAAATGCCGGAGTATAAGAGCCGCGGTTTCGTGCCTCGGCAAGGCGGCATGTAGGGCCAGTTTATGTGCGCTATTGGTATAATAGTCACAAGCGTGGCAGCGCAATTGCGCGGCGCTCGTCGGCGACGCCAAATACTTTAACTTCCATTCGTTCCGTGGACCGCCCTCCTTCACGTGATTCATGTGTTGTAAACGCTGTAAATGCTTATCGGTTTTGCAGTGCAGTTGAAAGTTCGCTTTCAAATTGGTTTTATAAGCACAAAGTTTGCAGATAAAATGTGCGTTCAGCACCGTGAGTATCTCACCCTCGCGAGTTCGCGTTCTGTCGACGGCTAGATGGTGACTTAGAGCCTCGAGCGAATCCGTCGCAAAGTTGTTGCAGATGCAACATTGATATACGTGGTTGGGGTCCTGGTCCGCAGGTTCCGGTGGTGGATCCATGCTGTCCGGTGAAAGTCCGACATCACCGCCAAGATTACCCACGGCAGCACTCGCTATGGTACCTATGAGTTCTGACGGAAACTGCGGCATTTGACCGCCGGTCATCATTGTCATCAAGACCGCTTGATTGTAAGCTAAGTCGGCCAATGCCGCCTCTGTGGGTTGCGGTTTGTCCAAACTGCCCAAGTGGAGCAAATGCTCGAGTTGCTGTTGCTGTTGTTGTTGATGGTGGTGCTGCGCCTGTTGATGGTGGGACAACGCCGACAATGTCTGCATGTGTTTGATATTCTGATGCAGCACCATCGAATTGTGCGTGTGTTTCTCGCTCGTCATATGTATCCTAAGATTACGCGCAACATTTGTCTCATAGTTGCATATGTCGCACCGAAACGAGAGCTTCGGCTTGCTCTGATTTCCACCCTGGGTGGCTCGGTGTGGACTGTGATTTTGCTGATGGTGGGGACTCCGCGTCGGCATTGGCGCATCCTGAGACGACGAAGGGTTGCTCGTACTAGAGCCACCCCCGCCTCCCTGCTGTAGTTCTTGCATGTTATTCAAATGTTTGTCGCTTTGCATGTGTATACTTAGGTTACCCTTCGTCGTAGTGGAATAATTGCACACTTCACACCTGTACGGTTTGTAGCCACAGGTGTACGTTTCGCCGCGTGCTAACCTGGGATGCGGCTGGCCAGCATTGCAATAAAAACAAGACGTCTCACTTTCAGGGTGTTTCTCCTTCATGTGTATCTCCAGAGTCTCTTGATACTTGTAGTGCCAATTGCACTTTGGACATTTTAGGGTTTTGCAGGAATTTCGACTGTGTATCCCGGCGAGTGGTCCACCAGGACCGGCGAGTCGGCTGCTCGTCAGTATCAGCTCGCACTTCGAACACTCCACGCCACTCGGCCTACCTTGCATATGCTCCGGACAGACACCTATCGTTGTGCCGGTGAGGAAGTTCGGTGGAGCCTGAGTGAGGGCGGCGTACGAAGACGGAGAGCCTTTGGTGGATGAAGTCGGCGGTGGTGAACTGTAAGGCATTGCGTCGGGTGCCTTGGCCCAGGACGCAGCGCTCACTTGCGCGCCGGTCCAATGCTGTTGCTGTTGGTGATTGTACGTGAGAGGGTGATTCGAATGTGACGTGGGCGTCGTGGGAGTGCCTGGCGAGGGCCGCTGCTGTTGTTGCGACTGTTGCGATTGCTGTTGCTGCTGCTGCTGTTGCTGCTGCTGTTGTTGGGGACTACTAGGTACGCCAGGTGTGCTCGCCGGTGTGCTCGTTGTGGTTGGCGTTGTCTCGTGTTCGTTGGATTCGCTACGTTGCTGTTGTTGAGCTTGTATTTGCACAGATGACACCTGAGCGCAGGTCGAGGTCGTGACAGGTTCTAGGAAACTGACGAGCGGCTGTTTGCCTCTACCAACGGCCTGTATAATGGCCGATGCCGTTGAGTGAGAGAGTATCTGTCGTTCGTCCTCCATTAGAGTAAGTTGATGCTCACCCTGGGCGTGCGCGACGAAACTTTTCGCGTACCCAAAGCTGAGCTTGCATATGAAACACATTAGGATAGGTTTGACGGGTACCGACGCGGCAGGCGGCGGCGGTGCCGTGGGTGTCGGAGGGGGCTGTTTACTACCTTCCGCGCTCCTGTAACTGATCACCCGATAACTGTGCATTATAGGAAAATCGGGATTGTGCTGTTGGGCCGAACGTTGCTGCTGCTGCTGCTGTTGCTGTTGATAGGCTTGATGCGCGTACAACCGCGATACATAGTACGCGTTTGCGATTTGTGGGTAAACTAAGGAATGAGGAACCGATACACCGCGCCCATCGACAATACAACCGTCGGGTAAAGAGTCGTCTTCGCTGAGTTCACTCTCACCTTCGATGATATAGGCCGATCCATCCGGGTTGTAGACGATTTTACCGTCAAATTTCTCCACGTCGCCGCCTGTTGGACTCGGGCTCGGACTGGGACCCTGTTGTTGCTGTTGCTGTTGACTCTGTGACTGCATCGTCATAGTTGTCGTCGTGGTGGTGGTATCGGCGATAGGTGTGGGTGTTGGTATCGCGTCGCGAGTGCAGGGTTCCGTGCCCGAAGGTGGACTAGCCGTGCGGGGGTGATGGGGCTGATGAAGTGCAGCCCCAGCCGCAGGGGGGGACCCACCCCCTCGGCCCCCCTCCTCCTCCGGGCTCATCTCCTGCTTCTGTTGCGCGTACGTGGAATTTTGGAAGGGTCCGCCGTGTTGCTGCTGTCGCTGTTGATGTTGCTGATGATGATGTACCGCCACCAGCTGCTGAAAGAGCTGACGGTCGATTGACTGTAGATGCGAGGGAGGAATGTTGTGGTGCTGAAGGTGGTACGGGGGATGAGGCTCACTGGAGGGCATCACCCCAGACGTGAGGCGGGCGCCAGCCTCACATCACCTACAGCGCCTGCGCCTACGTTCTCCGGACTTCCTTTTCTTCTTCCACGCGGACTCGCCCGCTTCCTCGCCGACTGCCTCCCCGTTTTATCTTTCTCTTCGCCACGAAGGGACGGTTTACTAGCTACCCCGACGCAAACCCAGGTCGTACCTGCAACAGCAAATAAAGATCAATTATTCAGACTGATGTTTAACATTAACAATAATTGTATAAAAAATTTCTTATGTCTAAACGTACAATTTCAATGGAGAAATTTCACGCAGTTCAACGTTAAAAATATTCCGAGCTCTGTCCGTCAGATGAAACTAGTTAGCTCGTTCGTGAAAGAATGAATTCGCAGACAGGACGTTTAGAAGTCGCCCAGTCGTCTAATCCGGTTAAACAGAGTCAACATTTCCGAGGACGGCCGAAAGATAGCGAAATACGCAGAACTGCAGCAAGCTGCGTGTGCAGAGGATGGCCCGAAGAAAACGGCGGTTAGGTACACAAAGCCACGGCGGAGAACCGTCGTGGTAACACAACGACTCGTTGTATTCGGATTACCTGAGTGAACCCAGCTGTGTTTGCGATCGATCGGCCGAGCTTATCTATCGATGAAATATCAATGTTTCCGTTTCTGAGCAATGTGAGAGCGAAAGATGAGAAAGAGCGCAACGGCAGTTTGACGGCAAATCGTCGCTATGAATGCTCGCCTGTACGTTCACAGATTGAGGACCTTGATCTTTTTTACGCATGTCTTTCTCTCCTTTATCAATGTAAAAAACTGCTCTCGTCACACATAGTATGCTATGAAATAGAGCATTGTTGGCATTCACCTCTTTTTGCCCACCGAATTATTTTTAGTATTTTCTTTTTATTAAGATAAACATTTTGATATATTTTGCATACATTAAATTTTATTTCACGTTATTTGTTACACTGAATTAAGTATAATCTTACAATAAAAAAAATTTTAATTTCTTAAAAATCGCCGATGTTAAAATTTTTGAATATTTTTGCTGATAAACTCACATCGACGGAATTAAAAATCTGGAGATAAAATTTTCTAGTCTTGTAATTCAACGTGTAGGCCGCAATACGCGGTCTTACTTCTTTACGCACCGTTGAGATCCGATTTCAAATCAGGCAAATCGTCAGATTACAAACTGCGAAAGCGGATGAGAACGTACACGTGTTGCAATTCCGGTATTAGGGAGAGACCTTAACGAGAATCGAGTGCGAAAAAGATTGGACGCGCTTTGCGCGGCCGTGGCGCGTCGCCCAAAACGAGATACGTCGGTCGCTTTGATTTCCGCTCGCAGGGATAACACGCTCGCACGGGAGTATAATCCACGTTTTCCACCGAGACGTGCGCGACGATGCGAATTTCTGCCGCGAGCGAGAGAGGCGAGGGCGAAGGCAAGAGTCTAATAATCTAATCCCAATTATGCGGAATCGCGGTCTCGAATCAACGTCGTGAGGAGGAGGAGGCCGGCCGCAAGCATTCACGGAATCTAACGGATTAAAGATGAGCCGGGTGGGTGTAACGCGGGATTTATGCGCTGGCTCGCGTGCGTGTGCACGGGGGTGTGGAACAGCGTGACGATCCGCAGAGTGAAAGAGAGAGAGAGAGAGAGAGAGAGAGAGAGAGAGAGAGAGAGAGGAGGAGGAGAGAGAGAGAGAGAGGAGGAGGAGG